TGGTGGTGGTGGTGGTGGTGGTGGTGGTGGTGGTGGTGGTGGTGGTGGTGGTGGTGGTGGTGGTGGTGGTGGTGGTGGTGGTGGTGGTGGTGGTGGTGGTGGTGGTGGTGGTGGTGGTGGTGGTGGTGGTGGTGGTGGTGGTCATCAACGAGGTACCTTTCCGTTGCCAACAACACCCTCACCACCATGTAACATGTAACATTAATAATGATATAGAATATGAATTGCAAAAATATGCCGAGACAGCATTTCTATTACATTTCTGACCCACCATCGGGCAGCAGCTAGCCAGACACCGCAGCGTCTTGATTCTGGATCCGCAATGTCGTCGGCATCAGTCATACATACCTGGCCCGCTTCTCGAGGTGGTCAATTTGGCCTCGGTTGTATGATCGGTCTTCGCCTTGCACTTCGCGAGGGCTCTCCGTAGTCGGCCCTTCGGGTGTCCGGCAGGGCTAAATTTTTGTCAGGATGAGGATTTGCGCTACACGCGACCTCGGCACCTCGAAACTGAACGTACCGTGAAACACATTTACACCATGAGACGTATGTGATATAGTTACGTACCAGCTATTATGTTTTGAGAATGTCAATGACATGTCGTCAAATACAAGATACAAGGGATTACTTGGATCTTATGAGATCATTGGTCCTAAGCCTCTGGGGGACTACCAACAAAGTGAATGCCATCCTCTTTGGAGGGTCTAGTCCGTCAGCCTTTTGTCGTATATAGCCGTATCTTGGCAGCTGTACTCGTACCGTACGGACCTGTTGTGTGTGCCATTGTAACGGAAAACGTACCTTAACGGTTAGCGGTTAATGGTTGTTTATTATTGCAGGTATGCGATTTCGGTTTGCGGCGCCCTACCGTCTTGGCAGCGGTGGCGATGGCGCGGATGGCCTCGACACTGCTGCCTCCACCGTCGCCGTCACCGTCACTGTCGCCATCGCCGGCTGCAGCTCCTCCTCCATCGTCACCTGCAGCAGCAGCAGCAGCAGCAGGAGGAGGAGGAGACACTGAAAGAGGTGTCGGTACCGTGGTGCTGAGTACGAGTACAAGTACGAGTACGAGTGCGAGTACGAGCACGAGTACGAGTACGGCGACGAGGCCTGGCGGCGGCGGCGGTGGCTGCGGGCCAGTGGGCTTCGCTGACCCCTTGGCCCCCTCGCTACTGCACTTGCAGGCCCCGCACCCGCCACATGACATGCCGCGTGCGACTGTGGCCAACATGCCCTCCTGCGCAATGCGCTGACACACCGCGGCCTTTCTTCGCCAAAAAAAGACATACACTTGCACACGCGCATTTTGCGAATTGCACGCGCGCATCCGCGCGATAAAATTCGCTCCTTGCTTTGGGCCGTCTTGTACGGTCTGTTAATTCGGCACACAAACATCCTGATAGGTAAACTCGCACGCTACCGAGCATTCAACCGAGAACATGCATGCTTAGTCGAATGGTGCGATGCGACCCCCCCTTCATTTCGTGCTCGGCAAGCCTGCCACCGTGTACCGGATATGTTGGCGATGTTACATAGACGCTGCACCTCGGTTTCTGTGCGCAATGCGTATGATGCTCGACCCCGCCGACCAAAACTACACGTGCCCAACTGACGACATTCCCGGTGGTTGTGCAGCAGCTCTTGCGCCTGTTGCTGGCTGAAATCCATCCTGAGCTGTTGCAACACGGCCAACGCGGGCACGGCCCTATGCACAGCAAATAGCTGTTCCACGGCAACAGCGGCGTCCATGTCACCGACAAGGCTCTAAACGTCTTATCTGACGCTTCCTCTTCCCGCGGCCGTGTCATGAGCCCAGCCTTGCAAGCTAAGTTGTATGATTTCAGTTCTTTCAATTACGGCAAAGGAGCCACCCACATTTCCGGCCTGCATGCCGTGTGCGACTGTGGCCAACATGCCCATCTGCGCAACGCGCTGGCGCACCTCGGCCTTTTTTGCCAAGAAAATTTATATACACTTGTACACGCGTATTTTGCGCATCGCACGCGCGCATCCGCGCGGTAAAATTCGCTCCTGGCTTTGGGCCGTTTTGTACGGTCTGTTTATTCGGCACAGTACGACCGGACACATTTGTGCGAGGGGCTGCTTAAACACGGAGCCATCGCTATCCTGGCTGCTAGTGCTTCGGGCCAGCTCTATTTGCTATTACCAGCATTGCCGCAACGGCGACGAGGGCATGGTAGGATACAACATCGCAGGTATGCGTGGTTCGTTGGTCCATGCCACGGATTACAGAAGCTGGTTTGGTTTCGGGGCTCTGGCAAAAGCAACGAGGCAGTGCAGCCATGCCTGTACAAATGCCTGTACATCAGTACGACAAAGCTGCCGCCATCGGCGCCATCTTCACCCTGGCCCCCGCACTCTCCAGGCGTATCGGTGGTTTCTCATTTAGCTTCAGTTTATCTCTACAGGGATGCTGCTTTATTTCTGTAACGTACGACGATTTCGCCCGACTGCCCTAGTACGCCATGTTCCCATCTGGGTCTTCGTGTTACAGCTTGTGATTGTGATTGGGTGTGGGTGTGGGTGTGGGTGGGTGGGTGGGTGTGGGTGTGGGGGTGGGGGTGGGTGGGAAAAGAGCGTCCGTGGCCTTAAGAGACTCCCAGTAAACAGGTACCACCTGACAGTACCTAAATGACCGTACACTACATTGCCAGGACTTCATGACTGCACCAGCAGAGTGTACGAACCGCCTTGACGGAGGAGGTGCTCGGTCCCGGGAGGTGCTCCAGCCGCCCCCAAGGACCCCGACGTCGCCCATTCACCCAAACACACCCTGAAGAGACAGACTTATACATACAGGCATACAGAGCGACGATTCAACATTCAGAGCACCAAGTCAAGCAAAGCGTGTATGTGCGTGGCCCATTGACTGTGAGCAACTCCACGCACGGCATATGTTTATAATTTGAAGGTGATCAGTGCAACAACCGAGAAACCAAATAGATTATGGGTAGGTCAGCAGCCCTAAGGCACACAATTAGCTTATACGACTAGCTGCAGTATTAGTTGTATATAATGGCACGAAGGCCATTTATTCACCCGGCCGGAATGAACACCAGATTGCAACATCATCAGACAGCATCGTCAGCAACACGAGTCGGACCAACCAACTGCGCAACACATTACTGAAATCGCGGAGCTGCGGGCCCTCAGCAAGTCCTTTCAATTCCTCCGACCAATCATTTCATGACTTTAATAATCACAGCACTTGAATTGACCACGGCACGAAACGGTCTTATGCCGACGTAGTGCGTGCGACTGTACGGCCTGAGGGCTTAGCTTAGTCTCCTAATATAGCTGTACTGTACGGCGCTTGTTAACGTGTACTGTACGGCGCTGCTTAAGCCCGCTTCATTAACCATGATCCCCCCTGATTTCGTTGCACGCCGGCAACAGTAGTGCACCCTGCAAGCAAGCGAGAGAGGGCACCGTGAGGGGGACGTGGGCAGCAGTCAGGTTGGGGTCCGCAACCATCCATAGCTCGACTGCTGCGGCATAGCCTGCGGCGTAGAAAGCTGAATGCATGCGGGGCCTTTTCACTGTATGCACGCGACCACGGTTGCTGCTGCTGGTGTGGTTACCTGCGCCCTCCTTTCCCCTCCTTTCCCCTCCACACCACTTCCCTCCTCTGCCCAACCCTCCCCTCCTCCCCCCTCCTCTCCCCTCTCCCCTCTTCCCCTGGGCTTCGGAGCTTCCTTCGCTCTCTATACGCCATTTACAAATGGGCGGAGATGGAATTAGATGGAAGAATTCAGAAGCAATTTCCTCGCTTTCAATGGGGTCTAAGGCAGAAACAATGCAAACGACGGGTACGGCTCTCAACCAGCGAACTCGACGACCCGGACATCCCCTGCTGAGGTATATGTGCGTGTGTAAGATAAGTGCCCAGAACGTGCGTTACGTGCCCAAATCTTATCCTTCAGATATAAGGACCCGTCACGGGCTGACAGAACGATTTTGGTTTTTTTATGTGGTAGAAAAAATGATCCACACGCTTGTTTATAATGAATTGAAACGCACTTACCAGTTAATCACCAGACAGTTGCCTTTAACTATCGTGTTGCTTGAAAGTCACGACTGCAAACGTATTGTCGAGTTTAAAGCGACGTCTGCGCCGCATTGCTGCTGGGATGGTTGTGCCCCTGCAACGGCCGCTCCGGCCGCCTGCATGTACACACCGAGAATGAGCAGCACCACCCAGACCAGCAGAGCAAAGTTGGGGAGAGGAGCGCGAACGGGGGCGCAAGGGGGATGTGCGGCTGCAGATATCTTGCTGCTGCTGTTGTGGCTGGTGGTGGTTATTGCCGTCCCTGCCGTTGAGGAGAAGCTCCCGTGCGATGCGGGGTGATGACGGCCTGATGAGCGCCTGGCGGACCCTCCAGCGCCATACGCATGGTGTCGCTGAGTATGATGCTGCCGACCGCCTTGCATCTGCTGGCGATTCAATCAGTCGGTGGAAGGCTGGTAGGGAACTTGGGGCTCTGCCCTGAGGTGGGTCTCTGCCTGGCGTAGTCGCTATTTCGCTTGTATAATATTTAATATATTACTTCGTAAAAAAAATCAGACGTGGAGTGTGAATTGCGATGATCGCGACATGAGCTTCAAATCTTTTTGTATATTCGTGAGTGCGGCGTGGTGAGAAAAGGTGGAGTGAGGATGCGGAGCTACGAGCGTTGTGTGAGAAGTTGGTGCTTTTTAAGTGCGGCGAATCAGCGACACAGCGAAGTGGGCTCCAACCGGCAGGCAGCAGACCCTCCGCCGTCCGACAGGCGGCGGACATCTGCAGCACATTCCAAGAAAGGAAGGTGGATACCTCTACTAGAGGGGTTACGAACGCATACAGGGCAGTAAACTCTTTTGAGTTGTAGCTCCGGCGGAGAAGTGGTTCACGGGTGGAATGGCTCACGGTTCATGGAGGTCACACGTCGTCAAGCTGACAGCAGCTGATTTGCATTTTGCGGCCGCGCGCGCACACACACACGCAGACGGGACGGGCTTGACAATCAATTTCCTCGCTAGTCGGCGAAGTCGCTAGAGGGCGCTGCAGCCCGCCATATATATACAGAGAAGAGAGATATGGCTGTAGTCCACGTAAAATCTTTCTCGCAGATAAAAAAATCCATCGTTCCAGATTTTGACGTAGTGATGCACTTTGGTTTTGTTTATGTTTTGTTTTATGATTGTTTCTAAAGAGACACAGATTAAAGCTTTTCAACCCAGCCCGCCCTCCTGTCCCTCTCCACAATTTTGGTTGACCGTTCAGCAGCTTCTTACATTCACGTGAAGGCCGACACGCAGTCAGTCTCACAATAGTAGTGCACTTCAACAGAGTCCGCCCCCCCTTCCCCCCCACCCACACACCCACACACACCAATTTGCTGGCCCCCCAAAACAAACAAAGTGGTGATAAGCAACTCGGGTCGCAACTCGCGACGAGCAGCAGAAATCAACTGGCATGTGCTCCATAACGCCACGGACCGCACCCGGCCATTTGCATCCCCATTTGCGTCGCCTCGCCGCGAGTCTTGTGCGGGGGCGAGGGCCGAGGGACCCCACACCAGGGAGTTGGTCGCCACCATAGCCACCGCCACATATTTCCCACACAGACCAACTAGACAACCGCGAACTGAGGCAATTCGCAACTGGAGCATTCTCGTTCCTCGTTCCTCACAATTTATACACTTGTGCAGGGCACAGGACGGTGTACGTACTTCCGAACCTAACACAACTTCCCCTGCCGATTAAGAGCATCAGTAGCGCTTCTCCATGATCCCGCCCGGCCCTTTACGAGGCTGCATGAGCAACAAAATTCGACAATCCTCATGACTTTATATTATATGCGCCAGAAGACCATTTCCCGCTTGCTTGGTAAAGTCTACTCCGAAGTCCTATATCTCTTAGAAACAAATCCTTTTCGACCTCTGATCTACCAAAGCTAGGCTACGCATGTCATTTTTAGCAGATGCTACGTCTGCTGCACATATCTACCGCAAGATCGGACTTGTCTCTTGACATATCGACCAAACCACCCGACGTGCATCAACTGCTGCTGCTGCTACTCGGCTCCTTGTCTTTTTGCTTGCCAGGGTGAACCGCCTTCCTCAAGACAGCAACACACCCTCCAAACGCCGGGCCATGGGAGAGATGACGATGACATCGACAACGACGACGACGACAACGACGACGCGGGGGAGGACGCCATCATCCGGATGTGCAAAGCGATTGGCCGTCATCATCATCAGCCTCCCTCTTCCGCCTCTTATCTCCCCCCCCCTCCGCCTCTTCACTCGTCCCCTGGCAGCATGTCACGGCTGCTGGGCGGGTCCAAACACGTCGTAGACTGGATGGCGAGGCCCGAACCGGTCGACGGGATGTTGAGCGCGCTGGAGAGCGACAAACCCCCTTGCTGGGTGCTGCTCGACATGCTGACGACGCCACCACCGCTTGTACCACCCACCGTGCTGGCGGCGGCGCCGCCGCCACCTGCAAACAGAGACGACAGCAATAACAACAGCAGCAGCACCACCATCAGCAGCGCCGTAGCGGCCACCAGCACCACCGTCACCTCTGTTACCGCCCTCTCCTCACCACCAGCTGTCCACCTCATCCACCCGGGGGAGGGGGGGGGCCCTTCCGGAGAGCAGTTTGGCCACATCACGCGCACGTGTGTGCGATTACGTATGTGCCCATCCCCACCCACCCACACACGCGCAGAGAGACACATACATCCGCACACACACACACGCACCTACATACGCACACACACACGAACGCAACGGATGTCCTGCCCCCTGCCCCCCAGGTGCTTACCCACGAAGTCCGGATCCAGCCCGGTTCCTAAGCTGGGGTTCACGAAGTTGGGTGTGGCAGATGCGGCGAACACCGGTGGACTGCCGCCGGTGGATGTCTGCTGTCCCCCTAGAGTGCCACTGGGGCCGGATACAGTGCCTTATTGGGGGGCAGGGGGGGAGGGAGGGAGGGGGGAAGGGGGTGGGGAGGAGGGGGGAGGGAAAGGAGAGGAATGGTTGGGTGGGGATGGGTGGCATCAGAAACTGCAGCACCGGTGTGCAGTGCTGGTTAGTGTGCTTGCTAGCTGGCTTGCTGCGCCACCATTCCACTATGCATATAACGATGGCTGTGTGTGGAGTGAGAGTGCCGCTTGTATGTATGTATGTGTGTATATGTGTGCCTATATGTGTGTATATGTGTATATGTGTGTGTATATGTGTGAATGTGTGTGTAAGTGTGTGTGTCCCCCAGGGCTCGTTCCTAGGCGTCATTGGGACAAGAGCCAGGGCACGGCGCGTGTGTAGCCTCACCCCATCCATACTCCCCGCGCACACACACGCACACTTATCTCTATCAGCATCAACAATGTCTTCATGACTCGGGATGGTAATAATGGACAGACACGCGGGTCAAGTGCATATGTATGTATATGTATGCATATGTATGCATATATGTATGTATGCTGCCTGCCGATGCGAGCGGGCGAGCCCTTCCCATGGTGCCCCGCAGTGGGAAGATGGGGTGCCCCGCAGTGGCATGCATGGGGTCCACACATCACGACCAACCACCAACCGTTAACCGCCAACCAGAGCAGTAGAGCAGCTAGGAACTGGCCAGTACGGGACTGCACGGCCCACCTGACGACGAGGCAGTGCCCCCCGGAGTGGTGAAGGTGCCCGTCGTAACGGTGCCCTGCGACCACACGTTCACCAAAATCATACAGCTGCTATTACGCAGTGCTGCATACATATATATATATCATCAATTGTCACCGTAGTCTAGGCGGTTAGGATACGTGGCTTTCACCCACGCGACCCGGGTTCGAGTCCCGGCGGTGACATACATATCGAACATACACTAGTGGCGGCTGCGCAGCACACACCACCATTATCACACAGCGAAAGCTATAGATAATTTATATTATCATATTATCTAATTATATTAGTATCATAAAACTTATATTGTATTGTATTATGACCTGTATCCTTTTATATAAAATATAAAATATTATTATTACATCATATATTATTAATATATTTGCTTTATTGCCTCTTCTTGAGTATTTAAATAAAATTCCTCCGACATGTGATAATGCCTTCAAACCTGCATCCATTAAAAGCTCAACTGCTTCACTTCACTTGAAGGGGGGGGAAGGAATTATTACCAATTTCCAAAAATTCCCACTAGGGAGGAAGAGGACGCTTCACCCCGGGGGTGGGGGACGTGCTCAAAAGACTCCTAGCCACGGCAAAGCTGTGCGCCCTGCAGCCTGCCGGCTGGCCGGGCCAAGATGGCTGCACGTAACCAGCGCCACCACTGCCCCCCTCACAACAACACCACCACCGGCGCTCCAAACCCTACTTCCCCCAACTCCTCCAGTAACATCAAAATCCGTACAGTCCCTTGAGCTGATGTCGTACCGGCTGGCCGGTGACCGTGTTGACGTTGCCACGGCCAGTGACGGTCGGGGCGGGGGCGGGGGCGGGGGCGGGCGCAGGGGCGGGGGCGGGGGCGGGGGCAGGCACTGGTGCAGCGGCGGCAGCGGCGCCTTCGTTGCCTAGCCCGACTCCGCTGCCTCCAATACTCGGGACTTCTGTAGCGGCATTGCATTGCATGGGGGGGTTTTCGCCCGCGGAGGGTACGTGTGTGCGTGTATGTGAGTGTGTGTGTCACACATCACGTCCTTTCTCAACCCCTATCCGCCGCCCAACGCAACGCAACGCAACCCCCTCAAAAACCCCACACCACCACACACGTTGCCACAAAGACTAAACACAACTGAACAACTAATCTAAGCCCTCCCCCTACATACATCCACAGGACAGAACAAGCCCATCTCACACACCGTGAGTACCCTCGTCTCCTGTCTGCGGGCCCGCTGCCCCACGTGCCGTACCCGTGCTCCACGTGCCGTACCTGCACCTGCGCCCCACGTGCCGTACCTGCGGCCACATCGTCCCCGCAGCCGTGCCGCGTAGCAGCGGGTCACACGTACCTGGGCACACGGAGCGGCCCTGCACCTGCTGTCCACACGACCACGTGGTGCTGTAGGAGGGCGAGGTGCCGGGGGAGGTGCGCTGGCAGGGGTCGCCGAACACGCTAACCCCGAAGATGGACTGATTGCCGTACGACCAGTGACGGTGGCGGCAGGCAAAGGTGGCGACGGTGACGGCGGCGGTGACGGCGGCGGCGACGGCGACGGCGACGGTGGCGGTGGCGGTAGCGGTGGCGGTGGCGGCAGGCAAAGGTGGCGACGGTGACGGCGGCGGTGACGGCGGCGGCGACGGCGACGGCGACGGCGACGGTGGCGGCAGTGGCGGTAGCGGTGGCGGTGGCGGCAGGCAAAGGTGGCGACGGTGACGGCAGGCAAAGTGGCAGGTGGCCGGTCGCCGGTAGATGCGGCGGACAGACATTCACACAGACAAGGAAAGAGGACAGAGGAACGAAGAAGAGGGGGGGTTGATGCGAAGATGTGCCAGGAGGGGAGATGACAAAGCCAGAGGCGGTGAGCAAGCTACAAAACGTGTCTCAGCAGCCAGGGGGGGGGGAGGCGGAGGGTACTTGGAGGCAGCTGCAGCACCAAAGATGCGACCGATACTGCAGTACCATTTTACTATACGCTCGCAAGAAAGAAGTGAAGTGCACGCCGTGCGTGTGCATCTGTGTGTGTGTGTGGTGTGTTTCATCCCTTCTGAGCGTTCCCCCGCCCCTCATCCCACCTTGAACGCGGGCTCCACAGTGCATGTTCCCTCCGTGTAGAGGACCTTGGCCAGTCCGTTGGCAGTGCCGGTGATCTGGGTGCCTGGTAGGGGGTGTGGCGGGGTGGGGTGTGTGGCGGGGTGGGGTGTGTGGCGGGGTAGGGTGTGTGGCGGGGTAGGGGGTGTGGCGGGGTAGGAGGAGACAAGGGGTCCGTTGCCAACATACGATGTGCTGGGCGCCAAAGGGGAGTTAGGGCGGGCGGAGCACGTAAAAACACACGCAAAAGACAACCTCGCTCTTTCCCTCCTCTCTCCCCCCCCCCAACACCCCCTGGAGGACTCCGGTTGCGTTTCGGACCTCTTGGACACACCGCCGCACAGCTCACTTACCACAGTTCACTTTCCTTGCATACACGCTGTCCTCTCTCCCCCCCCCCGCCCACCCCCCCTGGAGCTCACTTGGGGAGCCCTGTACCCAGGTGGTGCTGATGCCGTCCGCCGTCACCGCCACAGTGCCGCTGGTGTTGCCGGCCAGGAAGATCTTGGCGGTGCCTCCCGCCACCACATCCGCATCCCGGAACGTGCCGTTGAGAGCTACGGTGCCCAGCCTGTCGGGTAGGGGGTGTGCGGGGTGGTGGTGGTGGTGGTGGTGGAGGTTGAGGTGGAGGTGGAGGTTGAGGTGGAGGTGGGGGCTCCTAGGCCCTCCTCCACTTCCTCTTCCTGCCTCTGCTGCTGCACACGGAACGGCCACACGGTCCTCATCCGAGCACCACCCAAAACCCCACCCAAAACCCCACCCAAAACCCCACCCAAAACCCCACCCAAAACCCCACCCAAAACCCCACCCAAAACCCCACCCAAAACCCCACCCACCCACCCACCCACCCCCACGCACACCAGCCACCCAGCCACACACGCACCCTGTGTTGGTGACGTAGACATGTCGCGCGGTGAGGCCCTTGGCCAGGATGCCGCCCAGAGTGGTGGCGGCGGCGGAGAAGGTGGCCACGGAGAAGCCGGGACCCACCACCAGGTTGCCGGGGCTGCACGTGTGTATGCATGTGCGTGTGTATGGACGTTATGTATGTGTGTACGCGGGAATGTGATACGGGGACAGGGACAGGCGGAAGGTGAAGGTGAAGGTGAAAAGGGGAGTTGGCCGCAGTGTGTGTGACAAACAGGGGGCATGCGGCCACGAGCATGACATATGTACACACCAGTGATTTTTTTTCATTTAGGGGGGGCCTCAATTTATTCCGACCTAAGTAACAAAGTTGCTAGGGTCGCCGTAATTTATTCCGTGTGGGGCGCTGGGGGGGGCTACGCCCCCCCCAGACCCCCCCCAGATAAGTTACAACTCCCCTCATAGACCAAGAGGCACGCACTGAGTTGGCACGTTTTCGTTCATGTACGCACTCTTCATGCCTTTCGTTGCCTTTTGCGTGTTTGGCGATGTAAGGACCGGTCATACATTCTGCTATGCCGCGTTGACTCACGGGCTTGACCTTCTTACGGCCCCTCATATATATTCTATGATTGCAAATACTAAGGTCTGCACACTTCGGAGCAATCTGGCAGCAATGGACGTTTTTGGCTGGAGGAATGAAAATGTACGGATCGGCCTCAATTCATTCCGTTTTTCCAAAGGCCAAAATGGCCTCTTTATTCCTTAAAAGGAATATATTACTTAAAAAAAACACTGGTACACACACAGGCTGTAACACCAGCAGGCAAAGAGTACTCAGGGAGATGCCAGGGGAGCTGATCCCTCTTACACACGCATACACACATAAACACGTTAACACACACACAAAGACGCATAGCCGCCCGCGCACGGTGGTGAGCAGGTTGTGTCCCTCACCCGAAGTTTTGAACGAAGCGCAGGGAACTGGAGTTGGCGGTGTAGACGGTGAGGTTGATGACGTGGTTGGTGCTGTAGCCCTGATGTGCGTGTGCGTGACGATGGCGGCCAGGAGAGAAACACTTCTTAAAAGCGTAATAAGGATATTTATTTGTATGCACGTCTCTCCCCCCTCCCAATTTTTCCCCCTCCTTCCTTCCCGCCGTACGCCTCGCCGTCCTTCCCGCAGTACGTCGCGCCGTACATCGGGCCGTATTCCTGTTGTACGTCCCGCCGTACGTTCCCGCCCTCCCGAAACTCGCCTGCGACAGCGCCAGCGACAATATGCCGTCGGCTTGGGAGTACGTGATGTCGGTGCCGTTGATGACGTCTAACTCGGCTTGCATGAGAATCGTCGCGTTGCCCCCGCCGCCGCCCCCGCCGCCCCCGCCGCCACTACCGGTCGTGTTGGTGCCGCCGGCAGTGGTGTTCTTAGAACCGCCCATACCGCCCATCATGCCGCCGCCGCCGCCACCGGTGGTCATGTTTTCGGAGCCGCCCATCATGCCGCCGCCGCCGGCACCAACCGGCCCTGGAAGAATGAGCACGTTGAAGGGAAGACAAGAGCGTACGGCGACGACGTCGCCAGGAAGCTCCGCGCCGGCGGCAAAGGTTGCCTGGCCGGCGCCCGGAGCCGCCGTAACGTTCGTACCCCCCGTTGTGTTGTTGCCGCTGCCGCCGCTGCCGCCCTCAGCAGTTTGCAGAAGGGCCCGAGTGACGAAGAGGTCGGTGCCGCGCTTGGTGGTGCCCAGCGCAGGGCTGGTCTGGAAGGCAAGGAACAGCAGCCCCAAGAAAAGCCCAAGGCCGGCGAGAAGGGGCGCATCACCGCGGTGAAGACGGGCGGCGCCTCCGCGGTCGCGCAGGGGCGACCGCGTACCGCCGCTTCGGGGTTGCCGCGATAGCAGCATTTGAATTTTTGATAGCAGCTGGCCTTGACTTGGGCAGCGGTCTGGATGCAGGCTTTAGAAAGGTTTTCCTGTTTCTCTTTTGAGGAAGGTGCTGGAGCAACACACAGCCCCCAAAAGACCGATGAGGAAAGCCGAGCGGCAAGTGCTGTTCTAACGATAACGGGAAGGCTTGTCAGAAGGCAGGTACAAGAACCTGCAGATAAACAGGTGCGTGCGTGGCAATTAAGTTCTTGCGTGAAATGGAAAAGGATAAAGAGTGCATGCCCGCAAGCTCCTCTACAGTCCTAGTAACTGTACATAAGGTGCATGATCAAGTAGATCTCCCGAAAATTCAAACGCTTTACCAAGCACGAAGCCCGTCCCGCTGTGATATGCCCTTGCTCCTACGCCAGCTGAAGGTTTCTGGACGTGTACCTCCTAACATTGCGCGGTTGCTTACAGGACAAAGCAAACCCAGAGAAATGCTGACAGGGCACCAATAACACACCTTTGCAACTTGCTGGTAAATTTGAAAGCTCCCACAACCTCGATAAACAGCAGGAAAAGAACGCTTTTGAACAAAAGATGCATGAGAATGTTGGAACAATTGATTATAAAAAGCGTAGGGATGCTCGTGGGGCATCGTTCCCCAAAGACGGTGACGAAGACGCGCCTTGGAGTCCGTACAGGTTTCGTATCTGTGGGCTTCATGTTACACCTTCACGCAAGTTCCAATGACATAGCATTGTGACATATCTGCGCGCCGTCCTGCCTAAAGACATAGCGCAAGCTCCGCCTCCCCCAAATCCTGGACGCAGGTTGGCTTCTGTGCTCCTGACCCGCGGGTCTTTTCGCATAGCTTCCCCAGGGCGCAACAGCCGCGAGAAGCTCCCGTTCAAGGATCCAAAGAGCTGTCTTGGTGCAATATGTCGTAGGCAAATAAAGGATATGTGGGGCTCTATTTATAGCGTTTGTGTCAACAAGCAATTTGACAAATGCACTAAGATAGGTCGAACCTTCAGACAATAACCGAGAAGAGACTCATTTCCGGGCCTTATGCAATATTCGGTATGATTGTGGTTGTTACAGTGGGCTCCAGACTTACGAAGAGTAGAGCCAGCACGCCAGGGTGTGTGCGTGTGTGTGCATGCAAACGACCGAGCGCCAATATTGAGCTGCAAAAGACTGATCGCGGCATATATGCACGAGGCCTTTTTATCCAAGCCGGGTCCCTCAACAAGTGATAACAGGCATTCTGTCCAAAAAGCATCGGGACTTGTATAATATGCACGAATTCGAATCTTCAAATCGGAAACAATATAATCCTGGAGTTCACTTACGTTGCTATACATCTAAAATGCCGCGCGGAGTAAAAGAAGTTTGTTTGCGGAAGAGCGGGCCCATGATAACTCTGGATCTGCCGAATTCTGGATCTATCTGCCAATTGATGCCTTGCCCTAATTCAGCAAATATATAATATAGATATTCTATTATTAATTTTAGGATGTATAACTACCACATCTTGGTTAACCTAGGAGCAGCGGGCTCTGGTTCTCATCACTGGTGGCATCAAAGGCTTACTGCCCACAAATATTTGAAGTATACATGAAATTTTCCCGGTGGCAATTTTTCCCACATATTCTATAAAAATCCAAGGATTGCCGTAGTTCCGGGCAAGACCGAATTCCCATCGGCCCCACCCACCTCCCCACCTCCCCTGACCCTTAGTCAGTCGTCACCGTCGGGACACCCCAACTCCCCACCAGGGTCTGACCAGGACAGGTCCGGCTGCCGTGCAGTTAACGGTTGTTACAGTGTACCTCGATCAGGTCGAGTACGGCACCCAAGGACCGCCTTATCCAAACAGAACCCGGCCAGGCCGTGCGTATAGCCCCATCAGCCTGGAAAAATATAAAATGTCCTCTTCAACCTTTTTTCATACGGACGGACGACCTTCACGTCGATTCCCTCGTGGCCACATCCCCACACTGCGAAATGAGAGCAGTGAAGCAAGCTCACCGCCGTACACTCCTGCCATATTTGCCGTGTACATACCATGGTACTGCCCATAGCCCCCAGCGAGCAGCAGGCCGCCCTACCCCATCTACCTTCACCAACCACTCACCATCCTAGCCACACATCGCGTCCCACCCCACCTGAAGATAGACTTCCAGCAACATCGCAGCCAAGCATGCCGCTACAATAAATCAATATTATGATTTAACCGATTTAACCTATGGCCCCCGAATATAACGGACAACCCCCCACTCGTGTGGGGAACTTGTAACATGTAATAACTTCGTATCAGGTGTCTGCTGATTGCCGTACAATCGTACACCCATCCTTCATTATCCTCAACGCTCGTGCATAGTCAGCAGACAACCCAAAGACACCAACCATCACCGCCCTTCCCTTCGTCGCTTCGTCATCCTACATATCACTTATCATCAGCCGCTCGTCTTCACCTCCCGGGAGTAGTCCACGCGAGCAGTCTTGACCGACGTCTTCAAGGTGATGCCCTGCTGCTTCAGATTCCGGCTCCAGGACAACAGCCTCATGCCGCGGTGGCGATCACGTGCCGCAGGTGACAGATCTGACAACAATGAGCCGCAGTCACGGGGCGCTGTTTGTGCCGCTGCGGTGTATGCTGCCGCAATACCAGCGACGGTAACACCACAACCGTTGTTAATATCAACTTCGGCGTTAGCAACTTCAGCGTCAGCACCTCCCGAGACGTTGTCACCAGCAGCAGCAGCAGCAGCAGCCGGAAGCAGATTATCATCATCAGCAGCAGCACCATCATGAGCACCACCACCATTAGCGCCCTCCGAGACGGCTGCGAGTGCAGCGCTGTTGGTGCTGGAGGCGGTGTTAGCCGCGGTGGCGGTAGTGGTAGTGGCAGTGGTGGTGATGGTGCCTGGGTTGCTGTAGGTGTCAGTGGGGCGGAGCGCCATAGTGGGGCTCAAGAGGAGGGAGAACACCAGCAGCAGCAACATCAGCGCGAACAGAGGTGACATCAGCATGAGGGCCATACGGACGGGAGAGGGAGAGTTCGCTGCGGTGGTCTGCAGACGACCCCTCGGGGGCCGTTGCGGGCGGTTTTAGCCGCTGCTGTTCTCGTGGCAGCAGCTGCGAATGTTGTTGCTGCTGCGGAGGGTTGGGTGGACTGCTGCCGATGGCCTCTTCCGGCTGGTACAGGCACGAAACTGCGGGAGCCCCTGGCACCAGATGGAGGACCCCTGGATATGGTCTTGCTTTGCCGCTCAATAGAATAAGATATACGTGCGCTCGTTGTAACGAGGGTTGCGTCTTAAGGCCGCGGCGGTGTACGCTGGCTATTTCCTGCAATTGCAAAGTACTCTCCTCGTGCGGTTGACGTGCTCACCGATTGCGATGGACTTGCTGTTTTTACTTGCCTAAGGCATCTGCCCGGATGTATATGTATAGGGCGATTAGGCGAGTACGCACGTTTTTGGTTTTGTTGTGCATGTCAAAGGTGCGTTGGACAGTGGCATTGCTGTCAAGAGAAAAAGTTCCTCGCCGCATGATGCCGCTTGACGACAAGGGAAAATTCCCATTCACACAGGAGATCCTAGCTTAGGGCGGATAGGAATGACAGATGGCTTTCAACTGACAGCTTAGCTAAGCAGCAGGTTTTCATCGGGCAACCGCCATCCTACTATTATACAATTTACCGATACATGCAAACGGTTAGACAGTCTGTTGAAGCACGCATGCAATTACACAATTAACTGATACACGCATACAATTATACGCACAAATACTGTATACCAACAAGCTTCGACTTCTCGAAGCGAAGTATGAGTGTAGAGATAGGCAAGGTATTGCGAAGGAACTGCCGTGGTGCGTGGAAGTAGGGCGCATGCATGCATGTGCCGGACCACAGTACGGCAGGGGACGCCGGGCTCCTACTTGGGTCCCACAGGCGCATTGGTTCTTCAACTGCCGTTGTTCTGACTATTACCAAGAGGTGTGTTCCCCTGCTGGGACAGTGTCCTCTAGTTTTGTGTTGCACCGTCTTCCTTAGCATTCTAGTAATCAGCACCACGTCGATGTACAGTATACAACCAACTGCCAACCATATTTCGGTGCAAACGTAAAAGGCAACAAGTTAAACAAACTGGTAAAATATCAATTTAAGGCATCCAAAATTTTTATTTGCGCAGAATCAATTCCTGGCGCCTAATAAGAAAGCCCCCAACTGTTTCTGCTTTAGGCCATGCGTCGATCCAGTACCGTTCATAGCACGGGTACATCCATACGGCTAGGCGTCATGATTTATATTTTCTGACAATTCATCGCATTATTACGCGGCAGGCACAAGCTAAAATGCATTACTGTATGCAACGACTAGCAAACGCTGGTGCTGCGATATCGACCCTAACCGACGACGTCTGGGTAATCATGACAACTGCAGGAAGGTAATGTAATGTAGCCTATGTACAATATAGCCTGTGACTACCCGAAAATGAGTATCGTCCTCCCCAACATCCCTTCTGTTATCGCAACTTGTTCCGTTGGGCTATCCTGGGCTATCAAACGATTAACCAACAATATAATTATGTGCTCCTGCCGATGCTGTCCATCACGATCTCGTATCTGCGAAGAACAATGAAAGGCACTGCCGCGCATTAGCAAACACAGAGTCGCAACAGCAAGGAATGGAAAATTACTTTTATTGATCAGCAGGCGCCATGCCCTGCGTTCCCTACATACAAGCCGCGATGCTCCATGATGCATGCGCCAATCGTCTACACCACAAGTCCATGCAAAGCGTCTCTTTATTTGGCCGTCATCATAGGCGTGAAAGCAAGCCGATGGCGTTTATTTACGTCCCCCCTGAAAGATTGCCGCACCGCATCACCAACTATGCCTTCCATCCAATCCCAAAGCTCTATCCTCTACGGTAGGATAACGCGACTCTTGTATGGATACGGCCAGATAAAAGTACGGCAGCTTAGCGGCCCCAAGTGACCGTCTTGGTCCATTTGGACCAGGGCGTGATGACAGTCCAGGTCCTGCTACAGCCATCGCAGCTGCTACCGCACGAAGTGCAGCTTGCCGTGCATCCTCCCCAGCATCCCCACCACCACCGCAGCGCCCGGCGTGGAGTCGCAGACTTGGCCAGGAAGGGTTTGTCAGGGCCCGCCGCAGCTGGAGTAGCGCCGGTTGCGGCGGCGGTTGTGGCTGCGGACGGGGCAGCACCCTTACCGCCGCCGACGATGATGTTTTCGTCGTCAGCCGCGCCCTCACGAGCAGCCAGTGCCGGCTTTGACATGTACGACAGAGCCAGCATGAGGCCCAGGAGGAGAGCGACCCCGGCCATCAGCCAGGAGGAAGAAGACGAGCGACGACGGGACATCCTCATGTTGACGACTGGGAGCGTGGCGACAGCAACGGTGTGATGGGCGGTGGTGTGCCACCCACAGCTTCAAGCGGTATGAGCGGTTGTCGGCGGTTCAGCCCGCAACGGGATCTTCCCGGTGAATGTCGATATCTGCACACTTGCAGTCGATGTCTACATGCGGAGAAAGGGCGCACAGCGGTAGTTAGAAAGCAGATGACGAGGCAAATATTTATCTGTTCCAGGTTCAAGATAGCTGAACGAATGAAGGGGCTTGTAAAAAATGCTAACCGTCGAAATGTCGATATTGTCGGTAATGTCGGTAATACCGGTAATGCCGGTAATGCCGGTAATGCCGGTAGTCGACGGACGGAGGGAGACGAACAAGAAAAGTAGGAGTAGTAGTGGAGGCCGGAAGGGCAGCAGCAGGGTGTGATTGCGTGCCGCGACAGTAGAATTCTGTAGCATCCGTCGACATCAAACAGCAGGACTAAAAAATAAGTGAGCGAGAGAGCGGGCACGTCAATTCAGTACACGTACTGAGGCGTAAAACATGCCGAGGGGCTCCAGCGACAACAAACGTGAGCAATAAGCCAGAAGATGCAGACTAGCAAGGCAAGTTGATTGGCATGCGTAATAGCTCAATCATCGCAGATAGATAAGCGCCGACGTTTTCTTCGCAGTCTGCCTGCCCTCTCCGCCTCATAATACGCAAAAACAGACAAGCAAAGTCCTTTCTTCATTATTATTGAGGCTCTGAATCGCGGCAGCGCCCCAACACATCTCACCTGCTGCTGGCTAGTTTGTTCGTCGACGTGTGCTGCGAAAGCGAGGGGAAGCGCGCCGCGCTTCGGACCTGCCGCGCTGATCAGTATTACTCTCACGTAACCGATACTATGTAGCTTCCTCCCGAGGCTACCGGAAATTAGAGCGCTAGCAGGAAAACGTATGTCAGAAACGTCTATATTGTTGTTGTTGTTGTTACATGGTCGTGGGTGCGTTCCCCGTACCTGCAAACCACCCTAGTACGAGCCGAGGGCTCAAGGGCTGCCAAATCGCCTATAAGCACCATCCTACCTCGCACTTCCAACGAAACAAGTAATGAAGTATACTAACGACCAAAGGGAACGATAGAGTTGCGGTGAGACCATATACGTTCCAGCATTCTTGCCAGGCGTCCAGGTTCCCACTTCATAGCGTCCTTCATATGTTCGAAGCGTGGAAAGCCCATATCAGATCTGATTCCGTCGTAAACCGGACAGTCCAGCAAAATGTGTTTCTCATCCTCGATGTGGCTATCAGTGCCGCAGCAGGGGCATACTCGCTCCTCCCTAGGTATATAACGCCGTCCCTTACGCGCTCTGTTAGCCGCCAGTGCCCAACAGCAAAGCCTAAACTGCATAAGCTTGCAATTCGCCGAACGTGGGATAAACATTGTGATGTGCGGGAGCACCTCCTTCCTGCCCGGTTGCTCGGCCGCCAGCCCCATCCAATGCTTATACTTCGCCATGTGAATTCCTGGTTGTTTGCCGTCTGACGGATACACGTCAGGCTGGACATCTAAACGTGTATGCTTCCAACCACTCACTAATCGGTCCTTGAACTCCGAAATCACACCTTCTGGCATTGGCTTGTTCATCAGCCACTCCACTCGTTCGTCTACCTCGTGTAGCCCTTGCGGGGCCTCTTTCCATACATCGTGCCCCAAAAAACATAGAAAACGGAGGAGTAGTGTCCCCCATCCGGGCCCTTCGGGGTTGGAGAGGGATTCTGCGACCTCCTGTCGCAAAACTTGGTATGCCACAGACCCACGCTGTAAACGGACATGGTTCCAAAACCTCACAACCTGCTTGAGAACGTGGTAGTGTAGGGGTAGCTGCGATAGCTCTGCGAACAAGAGGCGGTGTGTTGGTCTGGCAGCTCCTACAATTTGCCGCATGAAAGATATCTGAAGCTGCACTGCCCTGTCCTTTAGGCACGCCTCGAAGGGCCCCTCTGCAAGGTTATTCGCATCACTCCGCTTCCTGAGCCTGTCCAAGACCTCAGCTAGCATAAACGGCCCCCACACTTGGCAACCATACAACAGTATTGCTCGTACCTGCGTATCGAAACACCTCATCCTCACATCTGGGGCGAACAACTTCAGCTTATCTAATTTTGCACTCAACGCGAACATAGCTGCTCTAGCTGTGTCATACAACTGCTGGCGGCAGGCCCAGAACTGCCGTTCCGGCCCATACACTAACCCCAGATATCGCGCACTATCCTTAGCCGGTATGGCCTCTCCAGCCAGCCTGAGCTCATCACACGATGCTTGGACAGCACTTCTAATGTTGCTGTCACTCGCAAAAACGAGGCGAAACGTCTATATACATTTTACGGGACCTTGTACACGTGCGGTGACTTGGAAGCGTGTTCCTTAACACGTCGATGGACATCGAACGGGTCGTCATCCTTGTCGTTTTTGCAATTTAAGATTGTGGCTGCGCCGACGACCTGCACGATGAAGGAGGAAGGGAAAGATATGAACCGCGTCAGGCAGCGATCAATCGTTTGTGAGAAAGTACCTACCTTCCGCGACCTATGCTGCTTGTTGTAATCTTGAGCTGTGAGCCCTGATGCGCATCGCTTCAGAGTCGTTTACTCGAGCGTCTTTCGCACATCGGC